TAATTTTTAACATCCTTTTCCAAACCGGACATTTGGCCTCTCTTACTGATACTTCATTAGATCCTTAAACAATCCCAAATACTTTCACGGCTTGTGTCGCATGTTTATATTTTGATAAAACATATTATGTAGTGTGGGATAGAACCAATTATATTATGTTAACAAGCGGCTACCGAAGGCAAGTCTTCTCAATCGAAGTGGTATAATCCGTCACGGCCTGCGAAATTCTGGAGACTGCCTTGATTGCATTGCGCAATCGAATTTGGCCAACTAGGCACTGCTCAATATATGACTTGCAAATTTAATTTCGAATGCATAAATTGTGTCAGACGGTAAAGGAAATAAAAATGGTAATGTTCCTTTTCTCGATTTAAATTAACTTCTGAGCAAAAAAGGGAGGATTTTTGAATCTAATAATTTCACCCTTCAAATGAAGTGAGTAAAGCGGTCCAAGGATTTTTTTTAACGCACATTTTTATTTTTCCAATAAATACTATATTTTAAGTTAAGTGTGGAAACAAAGAATATAAACGAAATCGAAAAGGGCATTAAATTGAGAAAAAGCTCTACGTAATAGTAAGAAAATGCTTATATATTCTATAAAACTGTATAACTTGTTGCATAATTAATACTGTATACTGTTTTAATTTTTAATTAATTAATAAGTTAATTAATTAGTTAATTAATTAAATAGTTAATTAATTAACTAATTAATTAATTAATTAAACAATTAATTATTTAATTAATTAATTAAATAGTTAATTAATTAATTCGTTTTTATTAATACTGTATACTGTTCACAACCATTTGAAAATTGGGCTCCAGCCACCTCACTCACCAGACTAAACGCGAAAGTATTATACTTCCACTTTACACCGTACAGTATAGTAAATTGTTTAGCTTCTGTAATATTAGCAAATAAATTAATAATGTTTAAATCCCATGTCTACTACATATTTAGAAATCAATTTAACTTTTTTTCTGTTTAATTGTTGCATTATTTTGCAAAACTACAATAAGGTTTAAGTATAATTTATAATGTTTATTCATTGTGTATTTGTATGATCTTAAAATTTAAGTTCTTACATTGTACTTTATTTCGTAGCGGTGATAATAATTCTTGATCAATTAAAACTAAATTCCAAGTGTACTTAATATCAGTGTTTTTTAAATGGATGGTATGCGACGTAATAGTATGGTTGTATAATATTGATTAATATTGTTTTTATCTAACTTTTATGCTTAAATGTGTCAGGTTTCTTTATAAGGACGTAAATAATATTATTTTGAATGGTTTTAAGTTCAGAACAAAAAGTATCAATTTTTTGAGCTTACTTATTTATTTTACTTTAGTTAATTACTAATTGGGATTTTATATTTAACTTTGCCAAAAATATTTGAATTTACGAAACACCATCAGTAGAAGTTGTTTTTTAGCGTCACTCGAGAAATAAGCCTTCACCTGATACTCTCAACTCCTCTCGAATATAGGGCAACAGCTCTCGTATGTAAAGTGGTCAACGCTGCTTCAAAAAGAATGTAATATGTAAAAATATTCCGCTCATAGGAACAGAATTTAGTCATTAAAGCTTCAAATTTGGGTTGCACCTAAATTTTAACTTAAAGTCGTTATTATATGTACAGTTGCGTGTATAGCTGCTAGAAAAAAAAAATATGTTAAACCCGTTTAAAATGTCCATATTGACAGGTTGCAAACTCTTAAGCCTTGTACGCTTTTTCACTTTAATTTTTTATATAAGATTTATCACCGTATAAAAGTGGAAGATTTGTAAGAAGAAATTTTCTAATAAGAAGCTACAATGTTGCCCTTATGTCATACCTAATATATTATTTCATATTACTATAGTTGACAGTGTATAGTTAAATGCAGAAAAGCTCGATAATTGCTTGGCAAAAAGCATCGACAATTTAATATTAGTAGGTCGACGTTCCATCCAGAGAATTGCGCTAAATTATCTTCACCAATAGAAGAATTCTACTTAAGGTCTAGTCGGTATGCTATAGTACGGGTATCTCTATATATAAAAATGAATCATTGAATGTGTGTGTTGCTAAGCGCAAATCTCGAGAACAGCTGAACCGATTTCGCTAATGCTTTTTTATAATATTCCTTAAAGTACGAGGATGGTTCCCACGGAGAGAAAAATTTAAAAAATTAACTGAAAAAGTCTAAAAACTACACTTTTCTATATTCCCACACAAAAGATTCGTAATAATACTTAAGTCAATTTGAACTTTCATACCATATCATAAAGTTTAAGTGGTAGTGAAGGGGTAAGCAAAACAATTGAGTGACGTTAGTATCGTATAAATATTGTCCCTATGTATGCTTATTGTCCCTATGTATGCTTAGATCTTTAAAACTACGCAACGGATCTTGATGCGGTTTTATGCGGATAGAGTGATTCAAAATCAAAATAAAAAATATGTTTATTCAAATAGACGCTTGCGCGCTCTTATGAATCGTCAAATTTTACATCAAAGATTATGTATATAGGTTCGTAATGTACCACCGGTTCGGAAAGCAGTTTCTGTTGAGAAGACACCTACAAAAAACTCAACAGTTGCTCTTTTTCAAAAATATCAGGGTACAATATAATATACAGGTATAATAGTCATGACTACTTACCCTACGTGAGTATCAACAGTATTAACTCCACACATTGGCGTCGTAGAGATATTCCGAAATGGTATAATATGGTTCAATCATTAGTTGATTTTTAATTTTACATTTAAATTGGTCAAGCGGCAGACTTAACATCGACTGTGGCATTTTAGTGCACTTTGCCCCATGAACGACCTATTTACCTTTTGTAGACGAAACAATGGCGTAGTAAGTTTGTCCTTATTTCTAGTGTACATTTTATGTCTGTCACTATTCTTTAGGTAATAATTAAGGTATTATTGTAATATTTTGTATATACGTCATATATACAAAATATTACAATAAATGTGCAATATGTAATAATGTAATAATATATAAGCAACAGTGAGTATATTAACCTCTTTGAAAAGATCTCTGAGTGAATTCCGGGCTCCGATATTGTAGATTGCTCGGACAGCTCTTTTTTGAATTCAGGAGAAAGGTTTATATATGTATAATACATAGCTCCCATGTGAAGCTGGGGCGGGTCGCTAGTTCTAAATATTTCTATAGTGATAGTTAAACGAGAACGAAACACAAAATGCGAGTGTAAATTTTACTTTAAACACGAGTCTAGAAAGTGGATCAATGTTTCATATATCAAGTTAAAATTAATGTTTTTTTAAATAAATACATTATATGTCTGATAAAGCAGGCATAAAATTCTCATTTTGCTTGAAAAATTTTTAAAGTATTTGTATTTGATTTAATTAAAAAGATTAAAAGATAAAAATTAGTTTAGTAAAATATCAAAAAAAAAAAAGATCTTTATTTTAGCATTATATCAAAATTCATTCGAAAAAATGATTAAGAAATTCTAATAAGAAAGAAAAGAAAGTTCTAATTAGAAAAGAAATAGAAATTCTTTAAGCACTCAATTTAAAAAAAATATTGAAAAACCTTTTTAGGCATCTTAAATTTTTACTATATCTGTACTTAATGGTAGATATAATGTTGGAATCTATTTTTACTCAAAATCAATAACGTCGCGAATACAGGATTTGTCAAACAACGTGAAAGGTTCATAGCGACTCGTCTCGTTTTATGAATCCTACTAATATTATTATAAAGGCGAAAGTTTGTATGTATGGGTGGATGTTTGTTACTCTTTCACGCAAATACGACTGAATGGATCTTAATGAAACTTTACGATAATATAGCTTATACATCAGAATAAGACATAGGCTATAATTTATATACATATTTTATGTATATCCGTCTTTCTGTCTGAATATTACGCCTACAGCCTATTCTACGCAGACGTAGACGCGGGCAGCAGTTAGTTTTTTTTTATATTAGAAACTTACTCCAATCTGTGCACCTTCGTTTAAAAAAAAGGCTTCAACTCGAAATGTTTAAATTAAAATTTAATAAAGTTCTATTGCTGGGCACAAATTTCCTATGTATACAGGGAGACAGTTCTAAGTGTATACATTTTTTTAATTAAATTCTAGACATTAATAATGTTATATAAAAAATAATAAATATTTAAAATCACTCGTAACTAATTTATTTTAAGTTATCTTAAAAAGTGCGTGATTTATGGGCAACTCATTTATTTTACGCGCGATCATTCATAACTAACACGCACACAAGTACGTTTCAAAAGTATACGACGGATTTATGAATGACGCATTGTCAACAAGTTAGGTTTTAGGGAATAGAACGGCAATTTTTTTTGAAAAAAAAAAAAAAACTGATTTTATTTCAATAAGCGATTATTCTACTGAGTCTGAACCTCCTGTGAAAATTTGGGCACCTTTCAAAAGGGAGGCTTCCCTGTTTATTGGTATATATGCTGTATATATATTGAATGCGACTTGGCGAACTGTGTAGAAAAAAATTCAAGGAAAAATAAAAAATCAAGATAGATAATAAATTTTGGATAAGGATGGAGAAATCATAAAGGAAGGAATGACATTTTAATAATTACTGCCATTTTATAGTTCTAATTATTTGGTATTCTCTAGCGAAGCTAACGAATGAAAGCAAGTATAATTTTTAACAAAAAAAAAGCAACGTCGATGCCAAATTTCAAAATATTATTAATACCTATAAAATTCAATGATGGCCCTCGATTTCTCTGGGATGCAATCATCAAATCCGGGTTTCCTTATCATGGTACCACCCTAGGGATATCTCATTTCCGACAAAAAAAAATCAAAATCGGTTCATAAGCGACGAAGTTATCCACGAACACACATAAAAAAAATAAAAATATTTACGGTCGAATTGAGAAACCTCCGCCTTTTTTGAAGTCGGTTAAAAATACAACGTTGTGAGAGCAATCGAGTATTCTTCGAAGGTAATATTTTCAAGAAGTTAAAATTCTCACCTGTTTTCACAAGTTTAAAGGTAACTTGCTGTTGATTTTTAAGTTGTTCGTTATGCGTTGGGTGGGTCAGCTCTCGCAGAGCCATCTCAACTGGCGGTTGTTGCATGGCGACCGTTTTTGGTGGCGTTGTTTCCTTCGTTGAGTTGAATTTGCGGAAGAAACCTCTTTTCTTCGGCTTAGTACTTGATCCTGTTGAAGGAAATGTATAAAGTTAAGATTATGAAAACTAATGAGAGTATTTCGTAGTCGTTATCAAACTGGTAACTACTATACTTTAGAACAAGATCACATTATAAAAGTAAATCCTTGTTATTTAATTTTATAAATGCAATGTTATTTGAACAATGCCATGCACTATACACACGAAAGTCACGCAGGTTGTTAGTTAAAAACCCACTCGAATTCAGTTTCAAACTTTTGCTTAAAAACCTTCGAAAGATGATCGTTGCGTTGGTGTCGAAGGCGTGGAAGTTCGTGCGGAGGGCGCGGGAGAGGGATTAGTCGCAGGCTCTGAGTACGGTCGGGGTGGGAGAAGACTAAGGGACGACGTCGCAGGGGAGGGAAACTGGGTTCCTGACGCATCCGAACGTCGGTCAGGCTCCGGAGTCGTCACGCGAACGTTCGCACCGAACTGCGGAGTGCTGGCCACCTCGAACAGCGCGTCGAAGTCGCGGTCAAAGATGTTCTTTCGCGAGAACGCCGGAGTGGGCAAAGGGGCGGGCAGCTCGAACTCGTCCGGCGCGGGCGTGCGTACAATCTTCCCGAATTCGCTGTCATCGTGGCGGCCCAGCCTCTTGAGCAGCTTCGCCTTGGTGCGCTCGCGCAGCTTGGGCGGCCGCTCGAGCGACGGCGTCGGCGAGGCCGGCGCGCGCTCCGCTGGCTCCGGGGGCGCCGTTTTGGGGAAGGAGACGGCGCGGGGCGGGGCGGGGGGCGGGGGCTGGGGTTCCGCGCTGGTCGTCACTCGCCGCGGCGGCTCGGCGTCGAGCGTGGGCCGCTGCCGCTGCCGGGGCAGCGTGTACGAGCTGTACGTTAGGGAGACTACTTCTTCTGCAGGGTATATCACGTACATCCCTGGCGAGACCGCATCGCGCCGGCCCCCCGCGCCCTCCGAAGAGGTTCACGCGCGTCCACGGATTCCACTATCACTTTGATCGAAGAACCCTTGCTACAGTTTGCTTGTTGGGCAATCAATTGTCGCTATTGAACCCAGTGGAATGTTATTTTAAGGGTGGGGAAAGGATTTAGGAATGTTCAATGGGATATTGAGCTATATGAGGAAGGTAGGGAGGTGTTTTCTTCACGTAACCACTGCCGCGAGCTCAAAGAACGCATCTTCAACCTAAATGAAAAAATAAAATCTATGAAATATAACTACACTTAAATAGATAATTTCTGACATGTATCATACACGAGTTAAAATAATTAAATAAAAAAAAATATGTTGTTGAAAATTACTTGGAGATGGCAAGGCAACTTAGAAAGATCTTTATTTTCGGTCTTAAATAATGAAGTGTATTTATATGTCATAGTGTTCTTTTGACTGTTGAAGTAAATATATATGATCCAGACAGGGTTTATCTAAAGAGGTCCTTTATTCGCAGAGCTCGAGTGAATCCTTCAGAAGGATGTCTCAAAATTTCCAAAGGGTCTTGGAGGGAAACGTTCATTCGCTTTTTAGCAATCATTATGTTAGTTACGTAATTACATTTAAGTATTAAGTAAGGCAGTTTCATTGTGTTAAATTTTATATGCCTGTATAAATCATAATAATTGAAAAAGAAATCCTGAAAGATATCCTATTGTTCTCTTATCTGTTTTTATTAAAAATATTATTAATTACATTTTCTTTGTAAAGACGATGTAGTTTTTTTTTTAATTTTCGTTTAATCAACCATAAGATATTTTAAATAAATAATCTTAAGGAAAATATTACACTTTGTGTATAGTGCAAAAAATTTGGTGATTATAATATAACATAGCAAAATCCTTTTCAATGTAATGAGGTAGGGTCGATTCTTCTTTAGAGCTGTATTGTATGTGAACTTACTCGACCTCGTTTCACTCGCTTTCCAACATCGTGGTTGATATAAAATGTTGTTACATATTTAACTTGATCCTACAAGTCATTGTGACGATACTTTTTGTGTTCTGCTTATACACGTATATGAATTTTTTCAAAGAGCATTAGCTCTTGGTGACAAACAATGATATTATATACAAATAAGAGGTTGATATGACACTGGCGAACAAAAACGATGGCACGCAAATTACACTGCAACTAATAAATAACTAATTATATTGCAACTCTTAAGACTGCTATCTCTTTCCACGTCACACGTTCTATATCATCTATCACATTCACTTACACAATTATGTCGTATAATATAGAGCGGAACAATTTTTAAACGTAGCGCAGTATGGACATACGTCATCACATATCAGTTTCTTTTTAGATTATTTTTATATATCGTATATGAAATATCGTATTAGACTATATGTCATGTAGACAAAAGCTTACCCAATTTAATTATAATTTTATTGACATAGTCATGTGATTACAATGCTATTTGCCGGGTAGCATATAATAATATTTCTACGGCTGGGCATGTCTCTCGAGTACACGGTTTATTAAAACATAGTCCAGCATGCAGCACATATCTTTGAAACACTGTAATATTTCGCAGATGTGCAGGCCCTAACGCCAGACTTGTGACAGTTAGTATAGGTAAATTAGCATCAAAATCGCAATAAACAATACTAATATTACCTGGATTTGAATTGAGGCTGGTCGCGCATGGTGAATTAAAAGACACTGAAATCACTGAGCTAACATGGTTCTTTATGGTTATTTCACTTATTGAAAACTAGTACTTGTTATAATATAAACCAGGAAATAAACATGTCGATCTAGTCACCCAACTTTTTTAATTACCAGTTTTAAATTTATAGAATATCAGTACTTGTTTACGGAACCTATTATTATGTTGCTATAACAAAGCAAAAATATTTCTATAAATCAATAACTTGTTTGTCTCAAAGTTTCAATGTGCATATTCTTATTCGACCACGCTTTGTATTACAAAACATAGAATTTTGAATCAGAAGTAAGCTAAAAACGGATTAAGATTTATCCTTTTGGAGTGTTTTTTTTTTATTCAATATTGAAGTACTCAGTAAAAATCGTGATAGTAATTTATACTTTAATCCCATTGTATAGGTTAAGAAAGCACAAAAAATGCCATCGTAGTGGTAACAGGAAGCACGTGCAATCCTACTGCTATTCAATTACATTTTTTGTTGGATGTATGAAGGCTTTCCACGGGTTCTTTTTATCATAGCACCGTACTATGAGTTTGTTGGTGTGAATACATATCACATACATACCTATTACATATTAAAAAACGAAGTAAAACTTATCAACTAAATTAAGTATAGAGAATATCTTATCTATCTTGATTTTAAATACCGACACCCAAATGGCCTGACTCAGATTTGGATTGATACGACGAACTAAACTAAGCTCCTTGCTTATTTTATTTACACTGACTTATTTCCTACACAATAAAGTTTCCAAACACTGTATTTTGTGCCTAATTTTGTATGGCTGCAAAAATAAATTGTGGCACAATAAAAACTTTATGCACTTTTTGTATACAATTAACTTACAAAATACCTGAGCTAATAATGGCATAATAGTTCAGGATAGGTAAAGAAAGAGGTTACATTACATTAAAATAAAAGGTAGATTGTGTTTAAATTCGACGTTTTTTTATGTTTTAGAAATAAGTTAAATTTAATAAAAATCTAAATCGAGTTGTGTTGGAGAGGCGGTTGAAAAGTGAACACGTTTCGGTTACTGAATTCATGAGTTGCAAAGACTCTATTCGTATACTATTCCAACTAATATTATAAACGTGAAAGTTTGTATGTACGGATATTTGTTAATCTTTCATGCAAAACTACTAAATGTATTTTGAATGAAACTTAACTAATAATACAGTTTATATATCAAAATAGCACTTCGGCTATATTTTATAAAGATATTGTCTGAATTGTCCAAGATATAACGATAAGTAAATAGGAATAAAATCTACCATTTGCGAGATATTCTGGTGTATAATAAAATCTCATTTAATTCTCTTTGACCGTGCGGGCCCAGCCGCGATTAACATCTAGTATCACATAATTTTTTTAATATATGTATTATCCACTGTGGGGTAAGATAAAATGATTCCCAAAGCTTGTAGGAGAATAATGCTGCAAGTTTCTTATTGTTTTACTAATTTCAAAAGAGATACCATTACACCCTAAACTAACCTTTTACTTCAATTAAATTATTATTATTATAATTACCTAATTATTAGAAAATATACTTCATTGTGTAATTAAAAGGTATGAAAATATATTATTAGTCACAAAAATTTAAGATTGTAATCTTTGTCGTTGAATATAATGTATTTATATGGAAATGAAAGATGTGAAAGGCGGAAATCCCCAATCTCTGATATGAGAGACGTATACAGTTATAAAAGTATATGAGAATGGCTGCTTCACATTTATGCATTGTGTTCTACGACATAACGTACGATTTGTAATTATGATTTCTAACGTTAGTGTGCTCACTAATCTATCAAATCTTTTAGTGACAATAGAATGTGATGATAACTAAAGATCATACACTATTTCTATTTCGAATAAACGATAAGAGTAAATTTTACCAATTTTCGTAGGGTTCTCGCTTATATTCGACGTCAGGTTGTCCTTTTATGTGTTAAAATGTCTTTTATTATCAAAACAAACAAAAGAAATCTTTACGTGTCCGCTACGTTACATCTCTTTGATATAAACACTCAATATTCGAGTGTTAAATGTGACCAATATAAGCCGACCACCATTTTTGCCATATCCTAAATACTTTGTTTTGTAATAAAGAATTTGATAAATAATATACGAGAAAACGTTCATATGTAATGCAATTGTCGCAGAAATTCGACCTTAAACTAGAACGATCTAAAGGATGTGTATTATATTTCTAGTTAGAATGGAAAATAAGCCGTAGTGCTGTTCATTTCCTGTAAAATGTGATTTCCGGTATATCAGAGAGGTCAATTGCAAAATGATTGTTTTATAACAGCGCTGAGATAAAGTTATATAAAGTTAAATATTTGCTTCATGTATTTAATTATTTTGTATTTTTTGAGATATAATCAGAGCCTACATTATATAAAAAATAATTTAAAGTGAAGTACCGGCCTATAAATGTATTTTGGTAATTCGCGAAATGCCCAGTTATTGGAAATAAATACATTACTTTAATATTAATCTAAATTACTTTAATTACGTGTTGGCATGGTCTATATAAAGTACCTACTTAAATTTGTGTGAGTACCAATTCACAGCAAGAGTAATATACATTTCTGAATTGCAATGACACATCAAATGGTCAAATACCACTTGTGAATATATGTCAGATCAAGAAGACAACTTAAATCTTGAGTATAAACCAAATGTAAATGTTTAATTATCGTCAACACTTTCTAAAATAACATTGAAACCAAGATAGAGAAATATCGAAATTAAATAAACAGAAGGATAAAACTTAACTGTGTTAAAGTAAAGAAAAGTAAAGTTTTATTCTTTTGAATTACAAATACAGTGAGGTCCAAGACTCTATACATTTATAATGATCATTACAGCTCAGAAAAATTTCGCAATTACCACTGCTTCCCTGTATGGTGAATCGGAAGAACAATCTAAATAATCCAACTGGATTGGAGTGCAACCGAACATGGTATGAAAAGTTAACAAAACCTTGTATTGGCTAAAACAGGCACCAAGATGTATACAAGATGGAATCCAAAATTGAATTCAGTTTTAAAGAAATTTGCTTACTTATAAACTATAATTTCGTTTAATAAACTTTTATTCACATATAAAAATAGACTTCCACTTATAAATTCAACAAACAACATGTATAAAATTATTTTAGGTGCTCTTCATATGCATAACACAAATTCCGTTGCTCTTGTACCTTTACAACTCTACTACTCCTTAGTCACATGCGAAATA